GCTCCTGATCGCTGCTGCTGCACTGTGAGTGTTGGGGAAGGCCGCTCCCTCCTCAGGCTGATTCCACCAGGCCTAGGGGGCGGGGCCCAGACTCACCTTCGCCACAGCTTTAAGAAGCCTCACTGAGGCATTGGGACATCGCTGCTGCTGCACCGTGAGTGTTGGGGAAGGCCGCTCCCTCTTCAGGCTGATTCCACCAGGCCTAGGGGCGGGGCCCAGACTCACCTTCGCCACAGCTTTAAGAAGCCTCACTGAGGCATTGGGACATCGCTGCTGCTGCACTGTGAGTGTTGGGAAGGCCGCTCCCTCCTCAGGCTGATTCCACCAGGCCTAGGGGGCGGGGCCCAGACTCACCTTCGCCACAGCTTTAAGAAGCCTCACTGAGGCACTGGGACATCGCTGCTGCTGCACCGTGAGTGTTGGGGAAGGCCGCTCCCTCTTCAGGCTGATTCCACCAGGCCTAGGGGGCGGGGCCCAGACTCACCTTCGCCACAGCTTTAAGAAGCCTCACTGAGGCATTGGGACATCGCTGCTGCTGCACTGTGAGTGTTGGGGAAGGCCGCTCCCTCCTCAGGCTGATTCCACCAGGCCTAGGGGGCGGGGCCCAGACTCACCTTCGCCACAGCTTTAAGAAGCCTCACTGAGGCACTGGGACATCGCTGCTGCTGCACCGTGAGTGTTGGGGAAGGCCGCTCCCTCTTCAGGCTGATTCCATCAGGCCTAGGGGGCGGGGCCCAGACTCACCTTCGCCACAGCTTTAAGAAGCCTCACTGAGGCATTGGGACATCGCTGCTGCTGCACCGTGAGTGTTGGGGAAGGCCGCTCCCTCCTCAGGCTGATTCCACCAGGCCTAGGGGGCGGGGCCCAGACTCACCTTCGCCACAGCTTTAAGAAGCCTCACTGAGGCATTGGGACATCGCTGCTGCTGCACTGTGAGTGTTGGGGAAGGCCGCCCCCCCTCCGGCTGATTCCACCAGGCCTAGGGGGCGGGGCCCAGACTCACCTTCGCCACAGCTTTAAGAAGCCTCACTGAGGCATTGGGACATCGCTGCTGCTGCACCGTGAGTGTTAGGGAAGGCCGCTCCCTCTTCAGGCTGATTCCATCAGGCCTAGGGGCGGGGCCCAGACTCACCTTCGCCACAGCTTTAAGAAGCCTCACTGAGGCATTGGGACATCGCTGCTGCTGCACCGTGAGTGTTGGGGAAGGCCGCTCCCTCCTCAGGCTGATTCCACCAGGCCTAGGGGGTGGGGCCCAGACTCACCTTCGCCACAGCTTTAAGAGGCCTCACTGAGGCACTGGGACATCGCTGCTGCTGCACCGTGAGTGTTGGGGAAGGCCGCTCCCTCTTCAGGCTGATTCCACCTGGCCTAGGGGCGGGGCCCAGACTCACCTCCGCTACAGTTTTAAGGACACTGGAGCTGCCGCAGCAATTGTTAAAAATGTTTTTATATATTTTAAAGTATTTTAAAGGTGTTTTTACTTCTTACGTTATTGTACCACCGTGAACAGTGGTTTTTATCTATGTATTTTTATTTTGTTCTGTTTTATTGTGGTTTGGGGTGGGGATTGGTTTTGCTTAGGTAGAATTGTTTTCAGTTTGGTTTGGTTTTCTATTTTGTAAATGGAGGCTTGTATGAGGCTTGGGATTGCTACCGTGGAGGGGCGAGGGAGGTATGGTGGTGGGGGCAGATGTTATAGGCGAAGGGGATCGAGATACGGATATGCTCGTACCCCTTCCAATCTGCGCCCCATCCCGAGGGACGAGGGTAGGGTGAGCAAGGATTACTCACCTCCGTCACTGGTGTTGTGCAATGCCAGGTCTATAGGCAACAAAACCGCCACTCTGCGAGATTTCTTTACCTCGCAGGGGTTGACCTGGCTTGTGTGACGGAGATCTGGGTACGCGAAGGGGCAACAGTTACCTTACGAGAGATGGCGCCCCGGGTTTCTCCGTCCTCCACCAGTCACGGACTGTGGGCCGGGGGAGGGGTGGCATTATTAATCCGGGAAGATTGTCCTTTCAGGGCTCTACCATCGCCATCGATCCCCGGCATTGAATGTGTTGGCCTAGTGTGGGGCTCTGAGGTGAGCTTGGCTGTCTGGCTGGTGTACCGGCCACCTAGCGCACCAGCAGCCACCCTGTCAGGCCTACTGGAGGCGGTGGCCGGCTGGGCCTTGGAGTTCCCTAACCTATTGGTATTGGGGGACTTCAACATCCATGCTGATGCCACTCCCTCCTCACAGGCTCTGGACCTGGTGTCTTCCATGGCAACACTAGGGCTCTCCCAGTTTGTTTCAGGCCCCACACATCAAGCAGGCCACACGCTGGATTTGATCTTTGGCGTAGGTATAGATGTGATCATGTCTCCTTCAATTAAGGTGCCATGGTCTGATCACTACGCTCTGAAAGCCAGGATTGACTTTCCACCCCCACCCTGCTTAGGTGGCGAGCCGATTTGGGCTCGCCCGCAGAGGCTGATGGACCCTGATAGATTCCGTCAAGCCTTGCGGGACCTTGCTCCTCCTGGCGACTCATTGACTGAGCTTGTTGAGGGCTGGAATACCCAGCTCCTGGCAGCCATAGATGAGATCGCACCTAAGCGCCCTCTGCGACTCCGCAGAAACCGGGCTCCCTGGTTTACCGAGGAGCTTCGGAAAATGAAGCGGGACCTCAGACGGCTAGAGCGAGTATGGCGGGGTGCCCGTGACGGAGCCTCAAGAACATCTTATAGGGTTTTTATGAAAACCTATGAGATGGCGGTGAAGGCCGCTAAGAAGTCTTACTCTCGGCCTCCATTGCATCCGCTAGCTCTCGCCCGGCGCAATTATTTAGTATAATTAGGTCTTTAACGTCCCTTGAAGGACAGCCAAATTTAAATAACAATCTGACACACAGCTGTGAGGCATTTGCGAGCTTTTTGCGGAGAAGGTCCTGTTGCTCCGCCATGACCTCCCTGCCAATTTGGATACAATAAAGGAACTGGAGGCCCTCGACTGTCCTCGGGTCCAGTATTGGACCACTTTGATCGGATATCCCCAGCCGATGTGGACAGACTCCTCCGAGCTGGAAAGCCCACCACCTGTCCTCTTGACCCGTGCCCGTCTTGGCTGATTAGAGCGTGTCCAGACGAGGTGCGGGCCCCCCTGGGAGATATCATCAATTTGTCCCTTGGCACCGGGATATTTCCAGGGAATTGAAGGAGGCAGTGGTGCGCCCGCTCTTAAAGAAAACATCATTAGATCCCTTAGATCTATCCAATTACCGCCCGGTTTCGAATCTTCCATTCCTGGGTAAGGTGATTGAGAGAGCGGTTGCTGAACAGCTTGGTAGGTTTCTGGATGAAACATCGGCTCTGGATCCATTCCAGTCTGGCTTCCGCGCTGGTCATGGGACCGAGACGGCTCTGGTCGCCCTAACAGATGATCTCCGCAGGCAGCTGGATCGAGGCGGGTCGGGGCTGCTGATTCTTCTAGACCTGTCAGCAGCCTTCGACATGGTTGATCACGAACTCCTGGACCACCGCCTTGCCGACGTGGGGATCCAGGGCACAGTCCTTCAATGGCTGCGCTCGTTTCTCTCCGGTCGGGGACAGAGGGTGGCGCTTGGGGGAATTGTCATCCCGCCACTCCTTGGTGTGTGGAGTGCCTCAGGGTGCGATACTCTCCCGATGCTTTTAACATCTTTATGCGCCCTCGCCCAGCTTGTCCGGAGTTTTGGGCTGGGTTGCCATCAGTATGCCGATGACACCCAACTCTATCTGTTGATGGATGGCCATCCTGACTCGGCCCCAGACACACTGACCAGATGTTTGGAAGCTGTGGCTGGATGGTTACGCGGAAGCCGGTTGAAGTTAAATCCTTCGAAGACAGAGGTCCTCTGGCTGGGACGGGACGATATGGGATTGGGGGCAACTCCCATCTCTTGCGGGGTGCAATTAGTGCCAGCACCGTCCGTTAAGAGTTTGGGTGTAATCTTCGATACCTCCCTCTCTATGGAGGCGCAGATTACAGCTATAACAAAGGCGGCATTTTTCATCTCCGCCAAGCTAAGCAGTTGGCCCCTTATCTCTCTCGCCCTGACCTAGCCACTGTGATCCACGCGACGGTCACCTCCAGACTGGATTATTGTAACTCGCTCTACGTGGGGCTGCCCTTGAGACTGACCCAGAAACTCCAGCGGGTGCAGAATGCCGCGGCGAGACTCCTTATGGGGTCTTCGCTGCGAGATCACATTCATCCGGTACTATACCAGCTGCACTGGCTCCCGGTGGAGTACAGGATCAGGTTTAAGGTGCTGGTTTTAACCTTTAAAGCCCTATACGGCCTAGGACCCTCGTACCTACGGGACCGCCTCTCCTGGTATGCCCCACAGAGGAACCTACGGTCTGCAAATAAAAACATCCTGAAGGTCCCAGGCCTCAGAGAGGTTAGGCTGGCCTCAACTAGAGCCAGGGCTTCTCGGCTGCGGCTCCAATCTGGTGGAACGCTCTGTCACAAGAGACTAGGGCCCTGCGGGACCTGACATCTTTCCGCAGGGCCTGCAAGACAGAGTTGTTCCACCAGGCCTTTGGTCAGGGCCCAGCCTGACTCCCACCTCCGGCAACCTGCACAGAACTTTGCTTAACGGCTGCCATTAATTTGATTTTAATTAATTTTATAATGAAATGTTTTAGAATGTTGGATTATTTGATTGTTTGATTATTTGTTTGTTGTTAGCCGCCCTGAGCCTGGCTTTGGCTGGGGAGGGCGGGATATAAATAAAATTTATTATTATTATTATTATTATCCCAGAGTGCACTGAGGGGTGCAAAATGAAGTCATGTGCCAAATTTCTTGATTGCAGGGCCTGTAAACAGGCAAAAGTGAAAATGTGTTCTTATCCTAGGTCTGACAGGGTAACCACCAAACCCTTTGAACTGGTGCACGCAGATTTGTGTGTCCCTATGCCAGTGGCCAGTCTGGGTGGGGCCAAATTTACTCTTTCTCTGGTGGATGATTTTTCACGAAATGGCTTTTATTTTACAATCAAACACAAGAGTGAGGCTGCATCGATAGTGAGAGACTGAATAACAGCAGTTGAGTTGCAATACTCATTGCGTGTTAAGAGCTTTCAGACTGATCACGGTGGGGAGTTCACCAGGTCTGCGATGCAGAGTTTCTTCTGCCAGAAGGGGAAACGCCATAGGTTGACTGTCGCGCACAGTCCCCAACAGAATGGTGTTGCAGAATGCAAGAACAGAATGCTTCAGGAGATGTCCGCAACTTTGCTTTTTGATGCTGGGCTCCCCCAGAGGTTTTGGGGGGAAGCATGGCGGAACGCTTCGTTCACTTTGAATCATTCTTTCTGTTCTATTGTAGGGGACACACCCTATTTTCTGCTCCACGGCAAGAAGCCCAAGGTTCATTTCTTCCATGTGTTTGGCTGCAAGGCTTGGGTCCTTGTGCCAAAGGCCAAGAGCAGAAAGGGTGGCCCTAGGTCCCAAAAGATGATTTTCTGTGGGTATGAGCCAGAGACCAAGGGGTGGAGATTTGCCTATCCAAATGGCAATCAGTCCAGGGTTCTAATCAGCAGGAGTGCTGAGTTCTGTGAACAGAGTGGGTGGACCCGTATACATGGGAACCCTGACATTCTTTCAGGGAGTCTGCTTGATTCTGCTGATGAAGAAGAGGTAGAGGCTGAACCTGCTGCTGAGACACAGAGTCCTGACCCAGAGCAGGAACAGGGAAGAGCTTCTCCTAAAGCTGTGAAGCTTGAACAGAGAAGTGCTCCTTCCTCACCTACAGGTCCAGCTGAGAAGTCCAGAAGGCACAGTAAGTCAGAGGGGGAATTCTCTGACAGCAAGGAGTTCTGACTGGCCCTAGCGGGTCAGAGGGGGTACCTGAAGTAGTGCTGAGATGTTCCGCTCGAGCGACAGCAGCAGCAAGAATACTCATTGGGAAATATTGGAAGACACAAGAATTGCCTACCCGAGAAGAATGGCAGAGAAAAGTGATAGACTATATGGAACTGGCTGAGATGACCGGAAGAATCCGAGTTCAAGAAGAAGGGTTGATGGAAGAAGATT